TAAAACGAGCGCACGCGAGCTATATATTCACCAGATAAGTCAACCCTCGAGACACGAAAGGCCCACGGTGGGGTCGAAATAACGCGTTTGTGTTTTTCATGTTTGATTTTTTATCATCTTTCAAATAAATGTAGGAATAACAGATTTAAGAAACGGCTTCTTGTTATAGTATGGCTGTTAATTTGGGTTTTCTTCGCGTGCAATTTCCTCCCCACCCGTCACTAAGCTTGGTAAACGGTAGCACCCCCCCCCACCCCAGAGATGTTAATCGGGATCTGCAACCTTTCAAAAAACGGGGAAGTAATCCTCACCTACAAAAAAACCCCTAACAGTTTAAATTTCAAAGGGGTCGGAGCGTGGGCAATGTTCGCATGTATCCTACCCACGGCCGCATAAAACAAGGATGTCCATGCTCGCGAAGTTCGGCTGCTATATATGGCATTCAGGAGCGTAAAGTGTTTGTTCCTGCTAAGACAGTATTTACGAACGCATCATCGTGAACATCGCTCCGATTGTACAGGCCGATGACTTGTGACCCCATCCTCCCCGCCCCGCAAATTAATTGACCCGTAACTTTTTTTTGTCCATTTTTTTTAAATATTAATTTCCGTTTAAAATTAACCTTGCTTAAAAATATATATTGTTTTAGAGAATTAAATGGCGGTCACATGACATCTGGACCATCCCAGTACAGTATACCCGTGCGACTGGCCTACATCACGGCCTTCGGCTCCAAGAGACTCACCTCTCTCTCTGCCTGTTGAAACCAACAAGAGGGCATGTCATCGCGGGCTACGCATTGCCTGAACAAAAAAATATCCACGCACGAGGGCCCTCCGGCGCATATCGCTGTGATGTAAATTACCGTAATTTATCCGGCAGCAGGCTATATTTCTGTTAATGCGAATGTCCCCCACGCTTGTCAAGTCGCGAATTGTGGGGGCCTGTTAAACGCACGGACACAATAAATCAATCAGACGGGTCCTTCGTTTATTACGAGCCAGTAAATAAACCAGGTTCGGATTACAGCCTTCCCCCCCCTCCTCATTCAAGAGGGTCCTTTGATGAAATTTCGGCAAGGGTGAGAGAAATCCTGGGAAACATGGGCTTACCGTTTCAGACGAACATTCAGTTACGAACTAGTGATACTCACTTTTACGTTTGGTCAGGTTTTTGTTCTTCCCCATTCCTAAAAGGCGGTTCCTGTAACCGTGCCTATCCATTTACCCGAGGAAGCCTCACTAAAGTATCACGACTCCATTTCAAGAAAGTCCCGCTTTGGGAATGTTTTGGCCAATTGCAATAATTTGGGAGGAAACTGGAGTAGCTGTAAAACACCGACACGCGAGGAGACAACAAAGGTCACAAGGATGAGTTTACAAACCTATTCACTGTACTGCCAGCCACTTGGCAACCTCAAGCAAGCCTACAACACCTGGTATTCCCAAGCAAGTCCCCCCATCCAAGTACGAACCATCCCCCACCACGCAGAGCTTCTGAGATCTGGAAGAGGCTGAGCGCAAATCGGAGCGATTTAGTCGTGAGAAATATTAACTAAAATATCAGTCCTTTATTCGAGAAATCCTCGGTGAACCTCAAGACTCGAGTTGGTGAGAGTCCTGACAATGGGATTATTGCACAAATTGCTTACTGTGTATTTCACGCGTTATACAGCAGTCGCAGAAAGGTGCGAATTATCCACGCAGTGAACCAAAAGCGCAGACCACCCGCCACTCTAATCCTGCCTGTCAACACCACTTTCGCCTGTTGCCAAAAGCGGACGTTTAGGAGGACTTTGAGCAAACATTTGCAAACCCTGCACGGGAAAAATCCCTGCGCGCGTGCACACACACGCACACACACGCGTGTAGTGCCACCGAGATTTCACTGCTTAATTTACCGAGCAGGCCATTATGTAATTGCCTAAACGTTAACACCAATTTTGTCCGACAGCAGAGAGGTGGCTGAGTGGAATTTCACTCTGCGTTAAAATACGTCTTCGTAGAGTTATGATTTCGTAACATCGGTGGCTAGTGATATCTGTCTAAACCGATCTTCGGACTCCTCACCCCCCCCCTCCACCCAGCCCTAACGAGCATAGTAAAGTACGGTTAAACAAACATCACAACCAACACAGCATGGGGAAGCCTTCATCCAGCAGTGGATTGCCAAAATTCCACAAATTACATGTTTGTACCCCATTGGAACCTCCTTTGCCAGTAGCAAAATATGATAATTGGTTTTTTACCCATTTATCTGCCAACAAAACTGACACCTCTTTTTACAAGGAGTCATGTTTGCATTGACCACAATGTATGCAGTCCTTGAAATTGATTGTGGTCAATGCAAACATGACTCCTTGTAAAAAAGGTGTCAGTTTTGTTGCCAGATAAATGGGTAAAAAACCAATTATCATACATGTTTTTAATGGAATTTTCATCAACGATTTCAGCAGAGAATAGACAGAAAGCAACTATTGTTATGAAATGTAAAGAGATGTCTGTGCACATTTCTGTGCCATTTTTTCCACGATGGTGATGTATTGGTTTTGTGGTGTGTGCATTGGCTGGGTCATGTAGCCCACATGCCCAACCATTGCATGCCAAAGCAGTTTCTGTTTGGTCGGATAGAGGGGGCTAAACGGGCACGACACGGTCTAGAAAAGAAATGGACTAATACACTACGGGATGTGGAGGTGAGTGGACTTGCCAAAGACTGGTACCAGCGGTGTCAAGATCGGCCTAAATGGAGGAGGCTCGTGAAGGATGCTACTGGTCAGTTGGAGGCAGTCGCCCTCCAACAACAAAGAAGTGCAGAGAAGCGACGCTCACAACAAGGAACGGAGCGCCGGGCAGCTAAAATGCAAAAAGTTGGCACAGTAGGAGGCACAGCTGGTGCATCTGCCATTCATCTCAGTCAGTCAACTCATGGCACCTAAGTCTGTCCCATGACCTCCTGTCAGCGAGCTTCCGACACTATAACGTGGCCTCATAGTGCACCTTGCCTGGCACAGACGCAGTAATGACGTAACCGCCACTTAGTGGCCAATGGCAGGTGTTGCTGTTGTTGTGTGCATTAAATACAAAACGATCAGAAGACAAGTGACGCACACGGAGGCACCAGGGTAGAGAGAGAAAGAGGCGGTTCGTGGTGATGATCCAGATTAGGAAGACTTGTGAAGTGGATGTGGCCCAAGGCAGGAACGAGCAGAGAAAGTGTACCAAAGAAGCCCAAAATCCTACACGAGTGGAAACAAATTCAAGGAGGAAAGAGACAAGGGGAGAATGAATGTGAAGGACTGTTGAGTGTGGACGTAGAGATTGGCCCATGCCACATGAATTGGGAAACATTACGGGAAGTAGATTAAATACAGACTGATATTACTGTCATCACTTTGGAACATAATTTAAAGTGCCACTCAGAGACCACCAACTGGATTATGCTCAAGCTTGCTGATGGGAATGAAATCCGCCCCTGTAAAACTGGAGGAGAGAAATTAATTGACGTAAAAACATTTTATTGCAGCCCTTCTCAATTCACCAAGGCCTTCCCCCATACCATGTCGGTCATGTGCGTTTTTGACAATTCGGACATACTTCAACAATCTAGTCAGTCGCCAGTTGGTGCAGAGGCTGAGCGTGGTAGGGATCTCTTTTCATATCACTTTGACACGGATGTTAGCCGTGGCCGGTAAATCGAACTCTTTGATATTATACCGGGTTCGTCGCTCAGCACACTAACTACTCAGTGTTCCACTCACTACCACCACCGCCCCCCACAATTACACACGCAGTACAGTTCCACATGTCGTATATGTACCGTACACTCTCTTTGACTTAATGCATGCTGGCACACGCACACACACAGACCAAGCAGCAGCATGTTTGCTTGGCAAAACACAATTACCGAGACAGGTTTGTACGAGTCAACAAAACGTATATACGGGATGCATAAAGTGCCGTTACATTTTTTTAAAGTGTATTAAGCAAATCTTGGTATGTGCGTGCTTTCCAACAAGAAACTGACCCTATATGGGCTTTCTGATGGCATCTTCTAACATGTCATTTGCCTTATTCGCCTGTGATCTCCGATTTAAAGAAGTGCGTGTGTGCTGTTAACAACAAAAATAAAGCCGCTGCACTTGCACAGAGGGCATTTGCCATGCAATAAAAAAAAAGCTGCTTGAATGAACGCAATGGCAGAAGGAAAAAATTAATGAATGAAACATTTGCCATGCTATAAAAGCTGCTTGAATGAACGCAATGGGAGAAGGAAAACATTAATGAATTAACCATTCGAGTATGCAAATGTATTTAAATAGCCGTCGGCGTTGTGACTTGAACGAGCTATGGGATTAAGATGCAATTTGTAAACAGCGGCGGCCAAAAAAAATTAAAAATTTCGCACTGAACCTACCGGCCGATGATTTACCACGATTTGCTCTCACGTACGGTGCGAAAGAAGTTCAACATACGCGACGACGATGGTTAAAATTAGGTTTCTGTAATGCTTATTTCGTGTGCTTTGCCTACACACCGTCTGCAATCACGGCAGTAGCAGCAGCAGCAGCACGCGCGTTTAAATTCCACTGTGGCACGTAATGTGCCATGTGGGTTGGGGGGGGCCTACGGGTTACAGATGAACAAGAGGGCAGGTGATGGTGATGGCACGCGGGCGGGCGATAGATGAATTGTAGATTGCACACGCACCAACAACAGATGGGGGAAGTCAAACATTTAAAAAGATAGTGCTGGACTAGGACAGACGAGTGAATATAAATGAAGCGTGCTGCCGGAGAAGGTGGTGGTGGTTGTGGTGTGGCGATGATCGAGAGGAGGAGTGGGGGGGGAAGAAGAGGACACGAAGAGTGTGCCAGAGAGACGAGAACGCAAAGACAGCTGCTAAACAAATTAATAAATAACAGCCATCAAAGCAGCAGCAGCAGCAACAACAACAACACAGAAAGCATCATCATCATCGACGACGGTCAAACCACTCACGCTCGTGCCCTGGGAAACCCCATGGACAGCAAAATGTCGAGCGAAGACGCATTCTTGATCGTCTGCCGTGTCGCCCGCCGGCTCTTCGGCACCACCTTGCTGTACATCAGCTCGGCCGCGTCGCTCTGACCCGCAGCGCCCGCCATGGCCATTCACACCCGCACATACGGCTATGTGCGGCGACGTACGTACGTGTGTGTGTGTCTATATATGTACAAGACAGCGAGGGGGCAGGCAGGCGCACACGCACGCTTGCTGCCCTTCCCCACCGCAGCAGCAGCAGCAGCACACTGCCACCGACTGCGGAACCGCGACTAAAAGTGTGGAGAGGCTTCACTCGCGCCGCGCGTGGTTTTTTTTCGTCCTCCCCCTTTTCCCTGCGCTCCGCCCATTTCCCGCGAAAATTCGCTCCGCCCCCTCCCCATTGGCTCCGCCCCCTCTCCCTTTGCTCCGCCCCCTCATTGGCCCGCCCCTCCCCCTTGGCTCCGCCCCTCCCCCTTGGCTCCGCCCCCTTTCCCTCGGCTCCTCCCCCTTAACACCGCCCCTCCCAATTGGCTCCTCCCCCTTGGCTCCGCTCCCTCCCCCTTGGCTCCTTCTCTTTGGTTCCTCCCCCTTTCCCTTGGCTCCGCCCCTCCCATTGGCTCCTCCCCCTCCTCCTTTGCTCCGCCTCCTCTCCCTTTGCTCCGCCCCTTTTCGTCCGCGCGCGCGTTCTCTCTCACTCACTCTGTCTGTGTGTGTCAACGCCCACGCGCGCTCATTGGACGGCGAGGCCGGTTCGCTGGGCGTGGCCTACGCGGCCGTCGCGCCAATGAGGTCGAGTGGGCGTGGTCGTGGGGGGGGGCGGGGCTCCGATCGTATAGGTGGGGGGGGCTAACAGATTTTGGGTTTCAAGAGCTGATGGTCAAAATACTGCAGAGGTTTTTTTTGGGTAATATTTCTAACTATATATTTATATTATTGTTATTATAAATATATATTTATATGATTATTATAAATATATTCACGCGATCTAAACCCAAAAAATAATAATATAAATATTATAAATATATATTGGTTTGTGTTTTTTTGGGTTATATATATTTATATTTTATGAAAGTCTGTTTATTAATATGTTTTATAAATGCATTTATATATGTATATTCACGCGATCTAACCCAAAAAAAACATCTGCTATGGATAATGTTGGTCGCGAAAGCATGCGTGTTAAAAGAGACCAAGTCTTATCATGTGAGTTTAGCACGTCGTACACTTTTCGCGACCAATATTTTCCATAATCGAGGGTTTATAAATACACCATACGCGATCTAACCCAAAAGCCACTATTATGGAAGTCTTACAGCAATGCACTCTCATCCCTCTGCTTATCGGTAATATTATTCACTTGACTTGCATTCTTGAAGGTCAGCCTGCTGCGTGCGTGCGTTTTTGTGGCAAATTGACAAACAATTGTGGGGCAAGGGTTACAGCAACGCGGTTTGTGGCGTCTCAATTGCGCCCAATCAGAATCGTCGAGGCATCGTTCGCCCCATCCGATTCATCACGCGTCAATTAGCCAGCCTGTTGGCTCATTTCACGTGCGCGCGCGTGTGCCAAGTCACGCATTTGTTACGTCACGCGTTTGTTACGTCACGTGCGTGCCAGGTCACCTGTGTGCCAAGTCACCTGTGTGCCAAGCAGAGGTCGCAACCGGGTACCCGATACCCGTACCCTACCCGATACCCGGCTACCCGTACCCGGCCGGGTACCGGTAGCGGTTTGCGACCCTGGTACAGCCGGGTACGGGTAGGCCGTGAGTCACTGGTGAGTAACCGTTTGTCACTAATTTCCCAACGTCTTGTCTCTTCTCACAATTCAAGATCCTAGAATCAACCCACCCGCGCCTGCAACATGGCTTCATCCCAGAGGTCGCAATCGGGTACTCGTACCCGTACCCTACCCGATACCCGGCCGGGTACGGGTAGACGGGTATCGGGTAGGGTACGGGTACGGGTACCCGTTTTCGACCCTGGTGCGGCCGGGTACGGGTAAGGAATCAAAACCCGTTTGCGACCTCTGGTGCCAAGTCAGGCGTTTGTTACGTCACGTGTGTGCCAAGTCACGTACGCGTCAAGCAGCAATTCACCCGTTGCCAAATCCACACCTGCCAATTCACATTTCAATTCGTAAAGGGTCAAGTCGCATGCATCTACAGAGACCTCTTTGCCAGTGTGTATCAATCACCGTGTGTTCCACTTTAGATGAACCGGTCCGAGGCCTCTACTCACCCACCCAAACACCCCCTTTCCTCCTTCACCAGCGAGGTGAAGTATGGTCAAACAAACCCACCTACAAATGACACAGCGTAGAACCAGCGTTCACCCAGCAGTGGATTGACACTGTTGTGAAGTAATAAAATGCGTGAATCTTTACTAAAACACCGACTTTTACCACTCAAGTATGTATTGTGCAGTTTGTATAATGCTGTGTACGTACTGCCTCTTGACTAAAATCACACAGAATTCCGCCCTGACCTCACCAGCTTTCGGAAGCTAAACCAGCTTTAGCCTGCATAGCGGATGTTGTAGCCGCACTGCTAGTTCACGTTGTCAGCAGAAGGCAGTGCCCCAAACTCCACTGATGTCTTGTGTGTGGCGGCCCTCACACATCAGCAGTGTGAGGACCGCCACACATTTTGAAACCATCGTTGGGTTTGACAGCAGTATAATGACGATGATGATGATGGTGATGATGATGGGGGTTGTTGTCACCATTTATGTGTTTTGTGTCGGGGGACCGCACTTCAGGGGCCGCACTCAAGGCCACCAGGGGCCGCCAGTGGCCAGTGGGCCTTGCAATGAAGAACGCTGCATTATATCAGATAAATAACAACGATTCCCTCGTTATTCGCGAACTTGCTAACCGCGATGTTGGTCATCCGCGAATCGCATCTGGAACTCTGCACGACTGAATTGATAAACTATTATTTAATACTTACTTTTTAGTTTTTATTGACTTTGTGTGTATTACAACCATGTGTTTCTTTGTTTGTGTTATAATGAAGTTCGTGTATTTAATAGCATATTTATGTATTTAAGGTAAATTTAAGGTGATTAAATATGTTGTCCTTTCCCCGCACCTCCGTTTAGCACGGTTGGCTATGTACGGTGCAAAAGAAGTTCAACATCCATGTTTAGTGTACTAATTCAGATACACTAGTAGGAGGCACTCTCTCTTGTTTATTCCGGCCTTCACAGCCATCGGGGATAACTAAATACCGGGTCAGGACAGCCAACATGCTTCCAGACCCACAGCTGTGAAGAGGCGAAGACCACAACGATGGCAGCACGACGAGTTCCACTCCCAATGGCAGCAGCCCCGACTGTGAGTCGGAGCTCTCTTTTATCCTCCCCAGCGTGGCCAGGCTCCGCCCTTGGCCACGCCCCCTTCTGGATCCCCCAGAAGGCTCCGGGCTTCGGCCACGTGTCCCAATGGTAGAACGGGCTGCTACCCCCACTCCCATTCTCTAGCAGTCCCCAGCGCTACGCTCGCTCCAGTGACTCGTTCGATGTCACTACACATGCCTTCACCAACGCGCACTGACTCGCGTGAAGAATGTGTATGTATGTCTTTGTGTATGTATGTTGGGAGCGGTAGTGTAGTGGTTAGCGCTGCGCTGTACTACGAACCCGGCGACCCGAGTTCGATTCCCGCTCACGGCCAACGCCAGTGACGATTATCTGAACTGGTCGTGGGCTTCCCCGAGGTTGACTCAGCCTCAAATGAATACCCGGTGCGGTGTGTAAACATCGCCACTGGGGAGACAAAGGCGGGCGGGAGGGGTGTTAGCCACCCACCGCCTCGTGTGCCGTGCCAGCCTTTATAGGTGCTCGCTAACAACACTTGCCCCAACAGTATGTTCAGGCTACAAAGGGGATCCTTGTCTGTGTCGTTGCCATGTGGATATTTCCACGAGCATGCCACTTAGCCTCCAGATATAGCGACTCATAGAGCAGTAACCATTGAAACTTTAAGGGGAGAAGGGATTGGATGACGAAAATTGATCATTTTGGTGGGACGTTGTTATTAGTTGGACAGGACTTTTCCGTGAAAGACGCTGAGGGTGACGAAAGACGACTGAAAGAATCTGCCTCGGGCATGAACTCTCAGTGAAGAGGATGACGCTGGCTGGAGATATTCAGTCAACCGGACGGGCAGTGTCTCCCTGGTGACATTGGGGTGGGTTGGGTTTGCTAGTTTGATAAGGGCAGCCTGCAGTTAACCAAAGAAGTTTCAGAGGCGGTTTGATGATAAAGATCACTTTAATGTCAGCAATGTGTGATCTTAACAACGTGGAAACTTTGACAACGTTTATTTATTTTTTCACGTGTGTTATTTTATGTTTTTGTCTTATCGGATGCAGTGGGTTGTGTGTGTGTGTGTGTTGGGGGGGTGTAGCGGTAATGGGGAGCGGTGGTGTAGCGGTTGGCGCGCTGGGCTACGAACCTGGCGACCCGAGTTCCCAGCCAACACCAGTGACGATTATCTGAACCACTCTTGGGCCTCCCCAAGGTCGACTCAGCCATTAAAGAGTACCTGGTGAGGTGTGTTAACGTCGGCACTGGGGAGACGAAGGCGGCCGGGCGTGGTGCTGGCCACTCACCCCCTCGTGTACCGTACCGGCCTTCATAGGTGCTCGCTAACAGCACTTGCCCCAACAGTCTGTTGGGGGATCTTTGTCTTTGTCTTGGGGGGTGTTTTATAGAGGCAAAACACATCATTTGTTTTCCTGTGGCTAAACACGTGATGATTAATATAGGACTGCACGTGTTTGACAAAGCTTTGGCTCCGTTTAGCACATTCCGTTTTGTTTTCATTGGTATGTTTTGGAACGCCGGGGTTTTTTTACTGGAACCGATTATTAATCTTACTACTGTGATGTTTTTTTTTGTTATTTTTGATGCAGATTTCGTAGATATTGGGGAATTCCCAGTTATTTTTATCCCGATAATGTTTGGTGTCCACTTTTACTGTGGATTTTCTGGCAGTAATAGGGCACGTGTCATTGACACGTGGGAACCTGAACACATGTTCAAAGAGATGGCTTTAAAGAGCGGGGACTTGACTCAAATAACAGTTGCAATACCACCGTTAAAAAGCAAGGTTAAACCCCATGGTTAGAGCTGCAATAATGCCTTAATAAAGAAGACAGGGTGAGTGGGCTAGTGGTGTCCTCAGCTGTGTGCGCCAGAGGTCACTTGAGTGAATCCCAGTCGTAGCTCTGTGATATCTTCTTGCGCGAGCCATTCTTTAAAGATGAGCATGGTGGGGGGGGGGGGGGGGTTGTACTACATT